AGGAGAGGAGCAGAGATACACGTGCCATGTGCAGCACGAGGGTCTGCCGGAGCCCCTCACCCTGAGATGGGGTAAGGAGGGGCTGGGGGTCTCGTCTCTTCTCAGGGAAAGCAGGGCCCTTCTGGAGCCCTTGAGCAGGGTCAGGGCTGAGCCTGGCTCAGGCCCCTCACCTTCCCGTCCTTTCCCAGAGCCGCCTTCCCAGCCCAGCATCCTCATGGTGGGCATCGTTGCTGGCCTGGTTGTCCTTGGAGCTGTGCTCATTGGGGCTGCCGCTGTGATATGGAGGAAGAAGAGCTCAGGTAGGAAGGGATGGGGGAGGGTTTGGGGCTTTCTTGTCCCACTGGGGGTTTCACGCCCAGGCAGAAGTGTGCCCTGCCTCATTCAGGGGCAATATTTGCTCACATTTGCTCTATTGGAAAGGACATGGAATGTGCATAACAAATTCTTTCACCTTCATGATTGTGCAAATGGGGACCTGAAACCCCAGCAGTCACAGGTCACTGGGACAGGTGCCTGCTGAGCACAGACCTCCAGGAGGGCAGTTGGTCCAATTCCTCCTTCCCTCATGTTTCCTCATCTTGCCCTAGATCATCAGTCACAGTTCTGGAACCCTCTGTGAGGTCAAAAACTAGGGGGATCTTCTAGGACCTCGTGGCCCTGCCTCCTCTGTGGTCTCTCACAGGACATTTTCTTCCCACAGGTGGAAAAGGAGGGAGCTACGCTCAGGCTGCCTGTAAGTATGGGGACCTTATCCCTGAGACCTTTGGGACAGTGTAGACAGGAGCCCATGGGGGGCTCCTCACCCCATAATCCTCGTGTAGCCACCTCTCCTGTGGGCTCTGACCAGGTCCTGTTCTGTTCTACCCCAGGCAGCGACAGTGCCCAGGGCTCCGATGTGTCTCTCACAGCTTGTAAAGGTGAGAGCCTGGGGGCCTGAAGGCAGGGAGTGGGGCAGCGGGGACAGAGCTGGGCTGTGGGGATTCTGTGATTGGGACATTTTGACTGTGGCGTGCTGTTCCTAGTGTGACCACTTATCATGACTCACCTGAATTTGTTCCTGATTATTGTCTTCTGCAGGTGAGACAGCTGCCTGTGTGGGACTGAGCGATGCAGGACTTGTTCCCGCATCCCCTGTGTGGCGTCAGGAGCCTCTGACTTCTCTGTGTGCAAAAGCACCTGATGACTGTGCGACCCTGTCAGCATCCTGTGAGGGGCTGGGGAGGAGGATCCAGCCCCGTGTCCTGCCCTATCCGCCACACTGGCCCCACACTGGTCCCTGTCCTGTCCCTTTCATTATTCCTGTTCAAGGGAGGGAGGGCTGGGACGTCTCCATCCCTGGCTCATTGTCACGGTGCACTGAGCCACTTCCCTTCTGAAAATAAGAATTGAAAATAAATTTGTTTTCTCAAATTCTTGCAATGAGAGGTGGATGGGTTAATTAAAGGAGAAGTTTCCTAAAATTTGAGAGTGGAAATAAATGGAAGACCTGAGAACCTTCCAGAATCCTATGTTTGCTGTGCTGAGTCTGCTGCAGGTGGGGACAGGAGAAGGCTGTGAGGAGCCGGGTGTGGATGGGGCTTGTGCCCACTCAGTGCTCAGTCCATCACGGGCTGTATGTGTCACTCCTTGGCTGTGTCATCCTCTCTGCTCTCTTGTCCTTGTCCCAGGAGAACCTTGTCCAGCAGGACCTGTGATGACAGAGGCTGAGACGCCCCCATGGCAGCCCCTGCACAGGGGAGTCTCTGTGGTGTCAAAAGATGAACTTTCAGACCCAGCAAGTTCTTGCCCTCCTTTTGGGACTCTTTCCAGGATTTTGTTTTGCATCTTTTCCCCAACCTTTTTATTCCTTTATTTTTAATTTTTATGGATCCATAATAATTGTTTATATTATGGAGTACATGGGATATTTTGGTGCAAGCATACATGTGTAATGATCAAATCTGGGTCATTAGACTGTCCCTCACCTCAAAAGTTTATCATTTCTTTGTGTTCAGAAAGTACTCTTCTAGTTTGAAATATACAGTAAATTATTATTAACTAGAATCACCCTATTATCCTACTGAATACTAGATCTTATTCCTTCTATCCAACTATTTTATAGCCATGGCAAACCCCGGAAACCACCACTGTAGTCACTACCTCTGTGTGGTCATTCTTTTTATCTCCCACATGAAAGGCAGACACTCAATATCTGTTTGTGGTTGGTTCATTTCTCTTGACGTAGTGTCCGTGTTGCTGCACCCAACCTTTTCTTTTCTTTTCTTTTCTTTTTTCTTTTTTTTTGCGGTCCAGCAGGTGTTGGTCCCGCTCCCTCAGGAACTGGTGGCCCTGCTCAAACTCTGCCTTGATGTCCCGCCTCTGTCCTGGATCTTCTTCTGTGGGGGGTGGGGACACGGGAAGGGCTGACGCCTCTGCCAAGGGGCAGAGGACCTGGTATTGGGGGCACACCAGGACCCCATTCCTGAATTCTGCAGCGTCTGGCAGGCAGGAGCCTTAAAGGGCTCCTGGTTCCCCCTCCTCTCCTCAGAGAAGCGAGAGCAGTGAATGCGTTGGGTTCCCTCAGCCCTGTGTGAGCAGAACTGGACTCTGCCGGCCTGGCAGCCAGCTCTGCTCCAGGCAACCTTGCGAGTCCCCTGGCCCTGGGAACTTGGGGTCTCTCCCATGAGCCAGCACTCTCCCTCCTGGAGGAATCCACTTACTGCCTCTTCCCAGAAGGGCGCTTGTCATCTGAGCCTGCTCAGCCCTCTCCTCAGTACCCCGCCCCTAGGTCCCCAATGTCTGTGTCATCCCGTCCCTGCCACAAAGGCTGTGTCCTGCCTCCTCAGGGCCCCTGTCCACCCCTGCCTGCACCCCCCCTGCCCGGCTGGAGTCAAGCCACAGTCCTCAGTGCCCCTCTGACCCATGCTGGGTTGGAGGTGTCCATGACAACCAGGGCCTGGAGATGCTCCTTGGACTCGGGCTGTCTCTGCCTTTACCTCTCCCTCTCCCTGGGCCCAGTGTCCCTCCACTGCCCGCTCCCCAACAAACACACTCCCTGGAGAACTGGAACCGCCCCTGTCAGGCGCCTTCTTCCTCCTGACGCCTTCCTTCCTTCTGCCTCCTGACGCCTTCTTCTAAGCGAGCACACAAGGTGCCACCCGGTCATAACTGCCACTGTCCCTCCTGTCAGCGGGTGATGGGTTCCAGGACCTCCCGCCCCCGAGGATAGCAAAATCCCAGGGTGCGCAAGTCCGTGATACACAAGGGCGCGGCCTCCGTGCACTCGGTCGTCTGGATCACCGCGACGCCCGGCGCAGTGAACACGCTGTGGGAAGCGCTGCTGCGCTGCACCGTTCAGAGAGCAACGACAGAGTCCGCGCGTGTGCAGGAGACGCTTTTCCCTTTCCTGAACATTTCCACTGTGGGGCTGGTGGAGCCCACGGGTGCAGACCCGCGACACGCAGGGCCGGCTGCACTGGCGACCTCGCCGGCCCCCGCCTCACCCGCACGGTGCCACCAGAGCTGGTCGGGCCCCCACAGCCGCCTCCGCCTCCCTCAGCTCTTACCCGGGACCCCGCTCCCTCTGGCCAGGCCCTGGGGCTTCCTTCCGCCCTCAGGAATTCGTGTCTTTCTCCCCTCTCTAGGAGAAGAATGGAGCCAGGCCTCCTGCGCCACCTGGCGGAGGAGCAGCAGCTGCCAGACGCGGACCCTGCAGCGGAGGTGACAGTCACAGAGAACTGAAGGGACCCTAACTGGCGGTCCGGCTCACCTCTCAGGTGAGAAGCAGGCTCAAGGCCACACAGCTCAGACACACAGAGCTGGGGCGGCCACTGCAAGCCCGAGCCCGTCCTCCTGTAAATAGTGCCCCTGGGGACACTCGAGGAAGCCGCCTGCTCACCCCTGCGCTGCCTGCTCCGCGCCGGCAGCCACCTCGGCCTTCCCGCAGCCGAGCTCACCGGTGCCGCCAGGATGTCAGCTTCTCCCTTGGCCTGGAAGCCCTGAACTTTCTCTCTGTCCCTCCTTAGGACACTCAGGTGGTTCAGGATTTTTTCCTGAGGACAGGGAAGCCGCGAGGACAGGTGGATGCTCCGGCCCAGGTTTTGGGGGCTGTGGGCGCAGTGTCCCGGGAAGGCGGCAGGACACTCGGCAGGACACCCGGCAGGACACCCGGCAGGACACCCGGCAGGACACCAGGCAGGACGGGCTCACACGGCGGGGCTGAGCGGACTTCTCCACCAGCAAGGCCGGCCGTGTGGGGCCGGTGCTCCCGGGACTCCCGGCACATCACGCACAGCAGCCTCCGTCGTCCTCCCAGTACGAGTGCAGCTGCTCCCGGTCCCGCGCTCCAGGCCCCAGCCCTCATGCCCCTACAGCTGCTTGCTAGATGTTCTCCACCAGGCTGGCCAGCTGCTACACAGGGCGGACGCCCTCCTTCTTGAACGGCTTCTTGCAGAGCGGACACGCGGGGTCCATCCCCCCCAGGCGGGGCGGACATCGCTGGCGCAGCTGTGGCAGAAGAAGTGGCCACAGTCAATGGTCACGGGGTCCCCCAGGTGACCCAGGCAGATGGAGCAGGTCACCTCTTCTTCCAGGCTCCCCAGTGGGGCTGGCGTGGCCATGGTGCCCGTAGCTCGAAGGGTTCTCAGCTCACCGGTGGGGGCTTCTCCTTGGGGACCAGACATGGAGTCAAGAGCAGGCTCAGCAAAAGGGCAGAGGCGGGTTGGCCTGTGCAGAAAGCTGGCCCCAGACACCACCAGCTCCCAGGAGGCTCTCACGACCTCAGAGTGACAGGGACCTTGCCTATCTCTAATAGCTAGTTTTCAGGAAACCTAGTGCCTAGACTGGAGTTAACCATTTCTTCCTCCTGTATCAAACCCAAACTGTCACCATGTTAAAGGTTGGTGTGTGGACCGAAGTTTGAGACTCACATTTTTCTAAGAAAAAGGGAATTCAATTAGGCAAATATTTGTGAAGATGATGCTTGAGTAAATAACTTCTCAAGAATTCTTAAGAGACTAATTTTGAAAATTTTTTCCCTTCCTTCCTCCCTTCCTCCCTCCCTCCCTCCGTCTTCTCTCTCTCCCAATGTTTTTTTTTTTTTTTTTTTCATTTTATACATATGGAATCCCTGTGTTGTCCAGGCTGGTATGAAACTCCAGGCCTCAGGGGATCCTCCAGCTACAGCCTCCTGAGTTGCTGGAATTGTAAGTGTGAACCACTGTGCCCAGCTCTGAATCTTCTTTGGAAGAAAACAAAGATAGTGTTCATTTAAAGGCATTAATGTTATGGCACTGAAGTCTTGGAACTCTTGGATCCAGCTACAATATGTTCTCAACTTTGAATCAACTTATTGAAGAGAACATTATTATTAAAGGCATTTGCATGAAAATCTTAGAGATATTAATGTATATCCCTCCTCTGTCCCAAACTTCTTATGCAGCACCCAATGTTCTGTGATGTCTCAAAATTTTAATCACTACTTGGAAAAGAGAAGTTTAAGCTATTAAAAAAAATAATCAGGGAGGAAAGAAGCATTTGTTTAACAAAATTCCTAGAAACAATCACTTTCATTTGCTTTTGGCCATGTATGCGAAAGATTCAGTGATACTCCTCCTTCCGGAGGTGCCAGCTAATGGCCTTCCCTGGTGGAGTGTGGCCTGGACTTATGGCTTCACTTCTAACTGACAGAGCCCGCTGATGTAACAGTTTTGTGACTCTGGTGGTAGGACATAAACTCACTGGTGGCTTCCACCTTGTTTCCTCCACTCTGGATCACGGGCTCTTGGGAAAGCACGTTGGTTTTTCTAAGCAAGTCGCCATGTGCCAAAGCGCTCCATGTTCTAGAAACCTGAGGGCCTCCTGGGACCGGTCACAAGCAGCTTGAGGCCTCTTCCGGCGGCCCGTGGAGGTGAGCCACGCTTTCATGCCAATCCCCAGCTCCAGCTCTGGTCCTTCAGGATGGACACTGCCTGGCTTACAAGCTGCACAGGCTACCCTGTGATGCAGGTCTGGAGCCCAGAGGCAGCACTCAGGCGAAAACCTCTCCTGGGATTCTGGACCACCAGGAAACTGGCTGGGAGAATAATAGAGATTTGTGTTTTTGAGCTGCTATGTTTTAGCGTAATTGCGATACACAGCAGGTAGGATAGCCTAATTGGAATTTGGCAAAGGAGCAGAATGAGATTTATTCGCTTTGTATTTTTCATTTGCTCTATATGAATTGTAAGATATTAACATTATCATTGTGTCTTAGTGGATGGCTAAGGAAGAATTTTCATGGCGATAAATTAGGGTGTATTTATTACCACTCACAGGGATTATCCATGACTTTGAACTTTATATTTCCACTGTGTGACCAACTGAACACAAAAGGAAGATCCGCGTCATGCTGTGGGCTGATTCTGTGATGTCCCCCAATTAACCACCCCCTGCTTCTCACCTTCCCCAGTTACTCAGTTCACCCGATAATGTTAGGTGCTGCTGAAAGCGACTTGCCGATATAACTGGAGGGCTCCGAAATTAGTTGACTCTAAAGACAATAGGATGTATCCTGGATTGGACTGTTCCTAATCCAGATAGCCCCTTAAAAGAACTAGGGTTCTTTCCTGAGCATGATGAGTAAACAGTGTGGAGAGGGACTCAGTGGAGACAAAATTTCTTCACTGTGGCCTTGCGAAAGTGCGGAGAAGCTGTGTGGGGCAGGGCGAGTGCGTGGGGGCACGGGAATTGGGGAAGCAGCCCCTAAGGCCCATGATCAGCCAGGCCCATGAAACAAGGACCTTCGGTCCTACAAACTGTCAGGAAATGGAAATTATGCCCACAGGCCTTCATCATAAGCCTTGGGGGGAGGCCCAACCTCAAGCATGGGAGGACACAAGCTTTGCTGAAACACCTGAACAGACGACACGGCCACACCTTGCTAGATGGCCTAATTAAGCATATGACATTTTTTTCCATTGGAGGATGAATTTGTGGGAGTTCTAAAGCAGCAAATTCTCAGATTCAAACACAGTGTTTTACACATTTAGTATTCTACAGGAGCCCACGGCTGGCGTGTTCTCCGTGGTTTGATAATTTTCTTTTCTTTATGTTTAATTAAAGAAATGTACTTGGCTCTGCTATGCTGCATCTGGATAGTTTCCTTGTTTTCACAGGGTGCTGGGCGGCGATATGCAGCTTCTTCACCAGGGAGGTGATGGTTGGCGACCCAGGCAGTGTCTCCAAACGCACCCGCTCAGCATCTTTGCATTCCGGAGGCGGGTACTTATTCCCCATTGGGTAAGCCCATGGATTCCTGCTCTTGCTGTTCCAGCCAGGCCTGTATTTGGTAAGTTCAATAATTGTGGCGCCGGGTGAGGTGGTCACGGCTGTAATTCCTTAGCCCTCCTCTGAGAGGCTGGCAGGCGGTGGATCGTTTCAGCTCAGGGAGTTCGAATCCAACCTGAGCAAGAGCGAGCCCCATCTCTACTATAAATAGAAAGAAATTAATTGGCCAACTAGTATATTATAGAAAAATTACCCGACATGTGCGCGCATGCCTGTAGTCCCAGCCTACTCAGGAGGGCCGGAGCAGGAGGATCGCTTGAGCCCAGGATTTGTGGAGGTTGCTGTGAGCTAGGCTGACCCCACGGGCACTCACTCTAGCCTGGGCAACAAAGTGAGACTTGTCTCAAAAAAAAAAAATAAAATAAAAAAAAACATTTGTTGGTGTTGAGCTGCCTAAATGCTAATTGCCTATAACAGTCATCAGGTTAAATAATCCAACTGTACCCCAAAATATTGCACACAGCTTAGATGTGAAGAATTCATAAAAACAGGATACGGTGTGAGCACGGGTGAGGCGCATTCCCACTGAGCACATGCTGCTTGGAAGGTGATCAAAGTGCTACAACTCATGGTTGAAACAGACAGGAACAGATTGTCCTTCTTGGTATGAGCGATTCCTGGACTCACACACACAGACTCAAGGGCTGTACAACGAAGACAATTTTAAATTACAACAACTCAGAGTCCAAGGCACACCGTCTGGAGCAACATTTGGAGCTTTGTGAGTCTAACTGTAACTTGTTTAGACAGATTTATATCAAGGGGCCCAATTCACTCTTTTACACCTTAGATTCCTGATCATTTAGGGGTTACCAAGATTGTGCTGCCCACCCCAGTCCTTAAACACAAGGAAACTGGTCTCTGTGAGAGTCTCTCTGTGGTGCATTTAGACAAACGTCTCCAGGTTTTTTTTTTTGTTTTGTTGTTTTTTTTTGTTTTGTTTGTTTTTGAGACAGAGTCTCGCTTTGTTGCCCAGGGGTATGGTAGGGTGAGTGCTATGGTGTTGGCCTAGCTCACAGCAACCTCCAACTCCGGGCTCAAGCCATCCTCCTGCCTCACGCTCCTGAGTAGCTGGGACTATAGGCATGTGCCACCATGCCCGCTTATTTTTATGTATATATATAGTTGGCCAATTAATTTCTTTCTATTTCTTATAGTAGAGACAGGGTCTTGCTCAGCTGGATTTGAACTCCTTCCTTGAGCAATTCAGCCCCCTCAGCGCCTCCAAGAGGTAGGATTACAAGCATGACCTAGCGCTGGGCCTAACGTCTCCAGGTTTAAAGGGAAAACCCCTTTCTCTACCCCTCCAGGCCCAGGGCGAACTCACTCTGGCATCCAGTTCCCGGGGGTGAGTTTTCTTCTAGAAGAGTCCACGGGGAGAGGAAAGGAGTAGGAGGCAGGGAGTCCCGTCCAGGGAGAGGGATGGCGTGGGGGGAGTGAAGGGGCAGGGGCTGGCCCAGCTTGGGGGGGTCTCTCCCTGGTTTCCTCATCCAGTTCCTGTGCTGGGACTCAGGGAGACAGTGATAAACAGCGCTCGTTATAGAAGGAGAGGGGTCAGGGCAGTGTCGCTGGTTCCCGGGCGTGGCTCTCAGGCTGTCAGTCCCTAGGTCACTGTCCAGGGCAGGGAAGCTCAGCTCTGGGGATTCCCCATCTCCCTGAGTTTCACTTCTGTCTGTCCCAACCTGTGTCAGGTCCTTCTTCCTGGTTACTGCTGACGCGCACCCAACTCTCACTGCCATTGGCTGTCCGTTTTCCAGAGTCCCCAATCAGGTTCGCCGTGGTTCCCGGTTATAAAGTCCCCACGGACCCGCCCAGACTCAGAGTCTCCCCAGACTGCGAGGATGGCGGCCCCGGCGCCCCGAGCCCTGCTCCTGCTGCTGTGGGGGGCCCTGGCCCTGACGGAGACGCGGGCGGGTGAGTGCGGGTCGGAGGGGCGGCGTGTGCGGGCGGAGCGAGGGCGCC